CCCCAAAACCCCAAAACCCCAAAACCCCAAAACCCCAAAACCTAAATAAAATATTGAACCTTAGAACAAATGGGTGATAAAAATTGAACTTCTGGCTCGATGCAGAAGAGTCATGGCGCACAGAAAGTTCTGAAAGATTTTGTTGCAGCTTTTATCTCAACAAGCACGGCCATTTTTATGGGATATCCCATGGATACAGTCAAAGTGAGAATGCAACTCTACAATTCAAAGAGTGCCTTCAGAGTATTCTCAGATATTCTAGCAAAAGAGGGCGTTGCAGGCATGTACAAGGGGGCTGTGTCTCCTGTGCTTGGGAGAGCTCCAATATCTGGAATCATCTGGGCATCTAACGCTTACTGTAGACGCAAACTTGAACCTTTTAAAATCAATCAAGAAGCAAAATTTGTGATATCTGGGATGTTTGCAGGACTTGTATCTGCTCCTATTTTCTGCCCTATCGAGCACCTGAAAATCAAGAAGCAAGGATATTCTTCAGGAAAAATTTCTTATATGAAATTGCTCAAACAAGAAAGAATCAGAGGCCTTTACAAAGGGATAGTTCCCGTGCTTGCATGAAACATACCAGGATTTGGAGTGTTCTTTTCAAGCTACCATATTCTTAAGAAAAGATTACACATCAATGATCTTTCTGAACACAAAGTCAAGAAGACTCTCTATACATGACTCGCTGGAGGGATAGCAAGCCAAATGTTTTGGCTGGTTTCTTATCCAATAGATATGGTTAAAAATACCATCCAATACAGTCCCAAGCATTCTAAAATGGTGCCCACTTTTCTGAGTTTGTACAGAGAAAATGGAATCAGGAGACTATACCGAGGAATCGTTCCATGATTAGTCATGGGATTTCCAGTTGGGTCAATGATGTTTGTATTTAATGAAGCAATCACGAAGTTTATTGACAACACTTTAGAAAAGGTTAATAAAGGCAAAATGCAATAAGAATGTAAAATCAAATTTGGCAAATATAAAAATCTAGATTGCAGTAAGACAAAGTAAAATTTTAGTGTTAGGTTAAATTCATTCATATGCAAAATAGCTATCCACAACAATGGTTGACTTAATAGGCCTTAAGGAATTTGGAGCCAACTCTTAAAATTCACAAGGCTTCAAATTCTTTGTTTTACTTAATTAAACATACCTTTGAGTCATCTTTTTCAATATCCTCAGATATTTTGGGGTTTTGGGGTTTTGGGGTTTTGGGGTTTTGGGGTTTTGGGGTTTTGGGG